CTTGTTGCTGGTCTGAGTTCAAGCCCTGGATATCCTTGTTAATTTTCTGTCTGGTTGATCTAATATTGACAGTGGAGTGTTAAAGTCTCCCACTATTATTGTGTGAGAGTCTAAATCTTTTTTAAGTCATTAAGAACTTGCCATATATATCTGGGTGCTCCTGTATTGGATCAATATATATTTAGAATCGTTAGCTCCTCTTGTTTTATCAATCCGTTTACTATTATGTAATGACATTCTTTGTCTCTTTTGATCTTTGTTACTTAATTGTCAATTTTATCAGGGATGAGAACTGGAACTCCTGCTGTTTTTTGCTGTCCATTTTCTTGGTAAATCTTCCTCCATCCCGTTATTTTGAGCCTTTGTGTATCTTTGCCTGAGAGGTGGGTTACCTGGATACAGCACACTGATCGGTTTTGGTTTTTTATCCAGTTTGCCAGTCTGTGTCTTTTGATTGGTGCATTTAGCCCATTTACATTTAGGGTTACTATTGTTATGTGTGAATTTTACTGCCATTTTTGATGCTAGCTGGCTGTTGTGCCTGTTAGTTGATGCTGGTTATTTATCTTGTTGATGCCCTTTAGCATTTGGTATACTTTTTTGAAATGGCTGGTACTGTTTGTTAGTTTCTATATGTAGTGCCTCTGTCAGGAGTTCTTGTAAAGCAGGCCCGGTGGTGACATAATCTTTGAGTACTTGCTTTTTTGCAAAGGATTTTATTTTTCCTTCACTTATGAAGCTCAGTTTCGCTGGATATTAAATTCTGGGATGAAAGTTCTTTTCCTTAAGGATGTTGAATATTGGCCCCCACTCTCTTCTGGTTTGTAGCATTTCTGCCGAGAGATTGGCTGTGAGTCTGATGGGCTTCCCTTTTGGGTGACCCGACCTTTCTGGCTGCCCTTAGTATTTTCTCCTTCATTTCAACCCTGGTGAATCTGACGATTATGTGCCTTGGGGTTGCTGTTCTTGCAGAATATCTTTGCGGTGTTCTCTCTATTCCCTGGACTTGACTGTTGGTCCGCCTTGCTAGGTTGGGGAAATTTTCCTGGATAATATCCTGAAGAGTATTTTCCAACTTGGATTCACTCTCGTCACATTCTATTACACCTATCAAGCGTAGGTTATGTCTCTTCACATAGTCCCACATTTTTTGGAGACTTTGTTTATTCCTTTTTGCGCTTTTTTCTCTCTTCTTGGTTTGTGTTTTATTTCATTGAGTTGACCTTCGATTTCTGATATTCTTTTTCTGCTTGGTCCATTTGGCTGTTGAAACTTGTGCAGGCTTTGCAAAGTTCTCGTGGTGGGTTTTTCAGCTCCTTCAATTCATTTATATTCCTAAGTTGTCCATTCTTGTTATCATTTCCTCAAATTCTTTTTCAAGGTTCTTAGTATTTTCCATTAATTTAGAACATGTTCGTTTAGCTCATTAAGTTTCTCATTATCCACCTTCTGAAGTCTGATTCTGTCATTTCATCACACTCATTCTCTATCCAGCTTTGTTCCCTTGCTGGTGAGGAGTTTTGGTCCTTTGTAGAAGGCGAGGTTTTCTGGATTCAGGTGTTTTCCTCTTTTTGCGCTGGTTTCTTCCCATCTTTGTGGGGGGTTTACCCACCTGTCATTTGAGCATTTGCTGACTTTTTGATTGGGTCTCTGAGTTAGCGCCCGTATTATTGATAATGAAGTATTTCTGTTAGTTTTTCTTCTAACAGTCTAGCTCCTCTGCTGTAGAACTGCTGAGGTCTACTCCAGGCTCTGTCTTGGGTACACTTGTAGCAGCTGTGGAACAGTAAGTGGTGCTACCAGTTTCTTTTTCTGCTTTGTCCCAGAATGATGCCCGCCAAATGTCAGTCTGATCAGTCGTTTTTGAGGTGACTTTTTGAATATACAGGGGTCAGGGAGCTGCTTGAGGAGGCGGTCTGTACTTTATAGGAGCTCAAGTACTGAGCTATGAGGTACATTTATCATTCAGGGCAGTTAGGCCAGTATGTTGAAGTCTGCTGCAAAACTCATAAGGACAAAACCCTTTTTTTCCTTAGATGCTGTCTCGGGGGAGTTAGAGCTTTCTTTGTGAGTATCCATAGCACCTTCCTGCACAGCTGGGAGGGAGGCAGTCTAGTCACTATTTTCCTGTCGAGGCTCCGCCCTGCTGCCACGAGCTCTGCCCTGTTGGCAGAGTCTCACTGTTATGGCCAATTGCCTCAGCAATGGCAGGCTGTGTCAGCAATGGGAGTGTACCTCAGTAGGGGCGGTATGCCTTGGTAATGGCGGACCACCCTTTTCCACGGAGCTGCACCATCCCGGGTAAAGCTGTGCCTGCATTGAAACTCTCAACCCTGAGCATTTCAAATTGCTGTTTTGTTTGTCCCTGTGGGGGTGGGGCCCGCCGAGCCTAATTACCTGGCTTTCTGCCTCAGAGTCTTTTTTATTTTTTTTTTGAAAGTTTAATGGTACACTCTCTCCCAGGTGTTTCAGTCAGCTGCTGATATGGCACTGGGATGTGTGATTTCCTGTGCAGCTACACATTGCGCTGGCTCGAACTTCTCTTCCCAGTAATCTGGTGTGGCTCACTGTCGAAGTCCCGTTTAATCAGATGGATATGCTAATCCACACCCTCCCAAATCTCAGATTGCCAGTTTAACAGGGCATCCAGACCAGTTCATTCTGTGTAAACTTCCGCTGTGCTGTGGGACCGGCTGAAAAAGGCCATGCGAGCCTTAACAGCTGTGCTGGTGTCCCATGTCTCTCCTACACCTGGGAATTTCTCTGTTCTGTGGGCAACAAAGATCCATCTGGAAATGCAAATTGAACTCACCCTCTGCTTCTTCACTGAGAGCTGCAATCCTGATTTGCCCCTACCGTGCCATCTTGGCAGTACCCCCCCTCAGATTTTTATTTATTCTAGGCACTCATTGGATGCCACTGAATAGGGGTCCTGATTGACATTTAGAGGAAAAATTCTCAGAATTGTTCTTTTGATGTAAGAATTATAGGTGTTAAGTATGCAATTAAAATTCTTTTCTTTTTATCATCTTAATTACTTTCCGAATAAAATTAAAACAATGCCATCAATGGAAACAGATTTACTGTTTTGAATGATTTAGTTGACTCCTGTTTATCGAAGGACAGATTACAAGACATGAGTTAGCCATAGTATGAAATAACAGTGTGCTTGGTATCATAAAGAAATGAAGTGTCAGTCATGTAAAAAAAATTAATGTTTAGAGAATAATTCTGTTTAGAAATATTTTGTATCTAGTCTAGCCTGAAAATGCTCCAAAATTTCAGCTGAGTAATTTTTGAAAGCAGAACCTCCTTTTTCTTCAACTCTCTAATGAACAGAGGTCTGCATATGGGTACTGCAAAATCTTTGCAATGGGTGTGCTGTGATTGGTGGAGCTTTCTATAATATTAGCTGCAAATACTCTTTTACTTTCACCTCCATGATTCATATCTATATGATCTTTTAAATGGTAAATGCATTCTGAAATGAAGGATGTGAATTTTTAAAAAAATTAGTTTTAAATGGACTTCTATAAGAAACTTTAGTTGGTTTTACATTCCTAGGACTTAGGCTGCATGAGATCTTTTCCTTTAGTGCTTCTCAATTGCCAACAAATTTGTTTTTATAAACATGAAAACCCATACATGCATGTGGAAAAATGTGTGTAGTTGCTCCAAGGTTGAGCATTTCAGATGTACAAGTCATATGTGATAAGTTATGAAACCTGAAATGCTCTGAGTAAATCATAGAGACAATAAAAAAAATAGTGGTTTTAAAATAATATTTCAGAGTTTATGTCTTCCTTCAGTTAGATGTTTATTTACATGTAAAGTTCTATAAAGTATATTGGTTACTTTTCACTTGCTTTTACATAAATGTTAACAAAACAGTGCGGTCCTATACTGTATTAATAACAAAGAGAAAACTTTTCAAGGACCTAACTTGAGCAATAATGCTAAACAGAGTAAATTTAATTTTGATACTAATTAAGGAATAGGTATATGTCAATTTCTTCTTCAGAGAACAAGCAGAGGAAAATATTGCTTCTCTCCTGAGGAAGAAAATATGTGGTCGGAATAACTGAAGCACTTTACACAGTGTTAAGTTTGAAAATTTTTTTGCCTAAAAATGTTTACTTCGTATGCAGGTTTTGATTGGCTTTATTTCATTCTATTATTCCTCGTGTGTACAGAAAGACCTCCAAGAGAGAGAAGACAAAAACAGTCTGTGTTGCAAAGGAAGCCCATGGCTGAAAATTGAATAAATAAATATGCGACTTTGCAAGGGATTTTGGAGACATGGAAAATCTTGTCAGGTAAGTTGGATGCTAAAACCTTGTCTTTAGGGATTAAGTGTCCATTCTAATTATTTTCTCATCTCAGAAAAACATGTAAAAGTAATAGCAAAATAAGACCTTTCTTAAAATATCTTACTGGAAACAGAATTTCAGAAACAGATTTCATCCAATTATTAAGATTCCACACATGGTTAAACTCTGGATGTAGATGTAAAGAAGAGAGATAATCTGACACAGGGAATTGCTTTTTTTCTGATGATGACAACCGTCTCCCTTTAGAGGTCAAAAAATCAATTTGATGTAAGCACTTCTAAGATTATAATGTTCTATATCAAGAAAACAATGTTTGTAAGCTCCCTCAGCCTATTGTGAATTTTGAAATTTAAGTTAAATGTTCTCTCTGGTGAAATAAAGAAAGGTGAAAAGATGGCCCAAAAAGATTTTAGTTTTTGTTCTGTTTTCCTTTCTTTGCTTCCTCTGGTACTTTTATCTTTTAATCACTCCTAAAGCTATTCAGGAACCTTAGCTGATGCAGCACACACGCTCTTCCCAACAGTCTTGGAGAAACTCATCTAAGCTCTCGGTGCACTGGGCAAGTGAATGGGTGAACAAAAAGCTAATTTAAAAGATGCATCAGAATCTGAAAGGACAGTGGCACAGAGGGTCTTGCATTTGTTACAGGGATTTTGTAAGAAAACTAATTCTAATTTCTTTAAAAAATTGTCTTCTGGTAAATCTGTCAAATTTATTGAGAACATACATATTAAATATTTCTGAAATAAACACTGATAAAACAAAAATATTAGTGTGGTCATCGGTCATTTTTCTTTGAATATTTACTTCAAAAATTAAATTACTACCTCCAAAATTTTATATTGATTTCAAAATAATAAACATATTTTGGTAAAACAAATATATTACTTCTTATGTTTTTTAATATTTAATTCCAAATCATGTCATCTCTTTTCATTATTGAGAATGTCACTTGTCTTAATTTCTCAAAGAATGGCATAAAGTCTTAAATTTTATGAGATTTTATACCACAAGTGAGAAAAGTCGAGTAAAAATAATAGTAGGGAACCAGAATATCCTTCAAACAATCTAAAAATGTTAAAAATACTTAACTAATATGTTTGAGGTAGTTCATGTAGAATATCTGGGGGCTATCCTGAAGGTTACATTTCCAAGAATATAAAATAATAAACTGAGTAGTTCCATACTGAAAAGATCCACACGAATAATTCCAAAGGCAGTGTATCTTTTGCAGTATGGAAAAAATGACACCCCAAATGTGAGTCTAAAAAAATAGTGTAAATGACATGACAACAAAAATAACAAAACAAAAGACAATAACAATCTTTTATAATAAAAAAGAATTTAATTCAAAAATATTTTGGGGAGGTTGAAGATGCAGTTGAGGATAAATTAAAAACAGCAATTACAAACACAGAGATCTGGTGAGACTTTTATTAATTATTAAATCATACATTAGTATCTGTTGTGTCTTCCTAGTTTTCCATGAATTACCAGATTGACTGAGGTCTTTTTTCTGTAGGACTAAATCTATTCGTTTTTATCCCAATTTGTGTGTGTGTGTGTGTGTGTGTGTGTGTGTGTGTGTGTGTGTGTGTGATGAGTTTGATTGAAATCTTTTTTGCTGTAGGACCTACAGATCATATCAACATTGAACCTGTATGCCAGAAATTTCATAGAGCTAAGGATACTGCGGTTGGCTGGGTGCATGTCAGGTGGCTAATAGTAATCCTGGTGAGGGGCTTGGGGCGCTTTGATCTTTTGCCGGCTTCTCCTGACTTCTCTGGAAAGAAGAATTCCTAAAAAAGGCTTGGACTGGCACAGGCCCATTTCAGATCGCAAATCTGATCTTGTGCTTGGCTTTCTTGGGAGTTCTCAGCAGCATGCCTGGACGTCTGTCTCAATCTTTGGATTCACCACACAGAACTCTGGAGACATGCTGTACCCCTGATCAGCTTCCCATGGCAGCCGATCAGGGGTACAGGCGACCAGGTGTCGCCGCCTCTAGCGCACACTGGCCTTGCCTTTTTGTAATTGTTCCCTTCATGTCCAGACGGTAGTGCTGCGAAGTAGGAATCCCTGGGCTTGGAAATCAAGGCAGGGCCTCTTGGTGGGCTGCCCATGTCAAAATATTGCAGCTCATGGGGCTGGGAAACGTACTGGTGACCCCCAGAGTAAATGCTTCCATGTCGGAAATGCCCTCATTCTTCACAAGACCAGAAGAGTGGGACAAAGGAGCTACTGAAGTCAAGACTTTCAGGAGCCAACACTGGTTATGGAAACGCACCCTCATTCCAGTCCAGGGCCTCCCCTGCAAACGAATCCACGTTGAACCTGGGCGGAAGCAGCTGGACAGAGCCAATATTTCAGCTCCCCAGCTGCGCATGGGAAAGGGCCTGCGCATGTCACCTGTTGCAAGCCCTTTTGCTGAGCCTTGGCTCGCGTCACAGTGACAGCCACGGTTGCCTGGAGAATGATCTTAGTGGCTTAGCCAAGCAGGTGCCCTCCGTGGCTGTGACTTACAGTTGCACAACGAACCCTTACTCCCCGCGATCATGGCCAAGTCCTGTGATTTTAGGAATCTGGCAGGACAAACCAGGCCGAGAAACGATCTGGCTGGGCTTCAGGGACGGCTATGGTGTTCCACAAGTATCCCCATGATGCTTCAGGCCATCCAAGACAGCGTGAAGGCGCCTCTCATTGAAAGCCCCCGACTGGTATTTCCAGGTATAGCCGGACTGCCTGTGGTGGGGCTGCTCTGTCCCTAAGGGGATTCCCAGCAGAAAACAGAACCCCGAAACCTAAGGATATGCCTGGCAGGGTGTGTTTCCGTGCGACTCTTGGATTTCTCCATGAGTCTTTCTGTGTGTATGTTAGTGTGTGTATGCATATATATTTTCGAGTGTGTCGACGAGTGTGTGTGTGTGTGTGTGTGTGTGTGTGTGTGTGTGTGTGTGTGTGAATGGGGCATGCTTCAGTTGAGTGTGGTCAGTGCACTCCAGCGTGGTTTCTCTGTAGTCCACCTACCTTCTGCTGCCAGTGTTTGGTTCATAAAGGGCACGGCAGTTCCCTGCATTCTTTGTATTCCTGGTGCTTTCCAAAGCCGCAGTGTAGTAAGGTCTGCTCCCACCTGCAGGTGTCATAATCACCTGCTCATCCAGAGGTTAACTCCTGGAAAAACAAGACGTGTGCAACATAGATACAATCAATTTCCTCCAGGAGCCCTTGGTATTGTGGCAAATCTTAGGCTGGAGAAACCCTAGCTGTCCCGTCCTCAGGACCCTTGAAGGGTTGCAGTTGTGTCCTGTCCTTAAACTTATGTGTCTTTTCTCTACTTAGGATTCTCGTTTAAAGATCAATTGCAATTCGTGTGCTGGAGTCAGCCTGGATTTCTATATTTTTTGTAGGAACTCATTGGATGAAACTGAATAGGGATCCTTATTGACATTTGCAGGAGCGAGTCTCAGAATTTTTTTCAAGTAAGAATTGTAGGTGTTGAGTCTGCATTTAAAAGTCTTTTCTTTTTTTTTTTAATTGTATTTAAGCCTTTGGAATACATGTGCAAAACATGCAAGACAGTAGCCTAGGTACAGACGTGGCAGTGTGTTTTGCTGCCTTCCTCTCTTTCAAACACATTTGGCATTTCTCCCAATGCTATCCCCCTGATCTCACCCCCCCGTATCTCCCCTATTCCCCCAATTGACCCCAGTGGGTAGTGCTTCTTTCCCTGTTTCCATGTGTTCTCATTGTTCATCACCCACGTATGAGTAAAAATACGTATTATATTTTCTGTTCTTGTGTAACAATGATGTTCTCCAGATTCCTCCATGTCCCTATAAAGAAAAGTAACTCATTGTTTTTGATTGCCGCATAATATTCCATAGTGTATATGTGTCACATTTTCCCAATCCAGTCTATCATCGATGGGCATTTGGGTTGATTCCAGGTCTTTGCTATTGTAAACAGTGCTGCAATGAACATTCGTGTGCATGTGTCCTTATAGTAGAACAATTTATAATCCTCTGGATATATACCCAGTAATAAAATTGCTGGGTCAAATAGAATTTCTATTTCTAGGTCTTTGAGTCTTTGCCACACTGTCTTCCACAATGGTTGAACTAATTTACACTCCCACCACAGTGTAGAAGTGTTCCTATTTCTCCACATCCTCTCCAGCATCTGTTGTCTCCAGATTTTTTAATGATCGCCATTCTAACAGGCGTGAGATGTTATCTCAATGTGGTTTTGAATTGCATCTCTAATGACAACTGATAATGAACATTTCTTCATAAGGTTGTTGGTTGGTCTCATGTATGTCTTCTTTTGAAAAGTGTCTGTTCATATCCTTTGCCCATTTTTGAATGGGCTTGTTTTTTTCTTGTAAATCTGTTTGAGTTCTTCGTAAACTCTGGATATCAGCCCTTTGTCAGATAGGTAAACTGAAAAATTTTTTCCCCTTCTGTTGGTTGCTGATTAACTCTAGTGGCTGTCTCTTTTGCCGTGTAGAAGGTGTGGAGTTTGATTAGGTCCCATTTGTGTATTTTGGCTTTTGTTGCCAATGATTTTAGAGTTTTGGTCATGAGGTCCATGCGTACTCCTATATGCTTCATGGCTTTGTCTAGATTTTCTTCTAGGGTTTTTATGGTGCCAGGTCTTATGTTTAAGTCTTTAATCCATCTGGATTTAGTTTTAGTGTAAGGTGTCAGGAAGGGATCCAGTTTCTGCTTTCTGAAGATGGCTAGCCAGTTTTCCCAACACCATTGATTAAACAGAAAATCCTTTCCGCATTGCTAGTTTTTGTCAGGTTGTTTATCAAAGATTGTATGGTTGTATATATGTTGTGTTGCCTCCGATGCATCTAATCTGTTCCCTTGGTCTATATCTGTTTCTGTATGAGTACCACGCTGTTTTGATTACTGTAGCCTTGCAGTATAGTTTGACGTCCAGTAGTGTGATGCCTCCTGCTGTGTTTTTGCTTAGAATTGATTTGGCAATGTGGGCTCTCTTTTGGTTTCATATGAGTTCACAGTGGTTTATTTTAGTTCTGCGAAGAAAGTCAATGGTAGCTTGATGGGGATACCATTGTGTGTGTAAATTACTTTGGGCAGTATGGCCATTTTCATGATATTGATTCTTCCTAACCATGAACAGGGAATGTTTCTCTGTCTGTTTGTGTCCTCTCTTATTTTGTTGAGAAGTGATTTGTAGTTTTCCGTGAAAAAGCCCCTTATGTTTGTGGTAAGTTGTATTCCTAGGTATTTTATTCTCTTTGTAGCAATTGTGAATGGCAGTTAGTTCTTGATTTGGCTCTCTTTAAGTCTGTTATTGGTGTATAGGAATGCTTGTAATTTTTGCACATTGATTTCATACCTTGAGTCTTTGCTGAAATTTTTTATCAGTTTCAGGAGTTTTTGGACTGAGACGATGGGGTCTTCAAGATATACTATCACGTTATCTGCAAATAGAGACAATTTGGCTTCCGCCTTTCATATTTGAATACCTTTTATTTTTATGTCTTGACTAACTGCTCTGGCTAGAACTTTCTATATTGAATAGGAGTGGTGACAGAGGGCATCCTTGTCTAGTGCCAGATTTCAAAGGGAATGCTTCCAGTTTTTGCCCATTCAGTATGATATCGGCTGTTGGTTTGTCGTAAATAACTTTTAATATTTTGAGATATGTTCCTTCAATACCGAGTTTAATAAGGGTTTTTAGCATAACGGGTTAATGAATTTTGACGAAGGCCTTCTCTGCGTCACTTGAGATAATCATGTGGTTTTTAATTTTGGTTCTGTTTATGTGGTCAAATTATGTTTCTAGATTTGCGTATGTCGAACCAGCCTTGCGTCCCCAGGATGAATCCTACTTAGTCTTGATGGATAAGTGTTTTGATGTGCTGTTGCAATCGGCTTGTCAGTATTTTATTGAAGATTTTTGCGTCTATGTTGATCATGGAAAATGGCCTGAAATTTTGTTTCCTTGTTCAGTCTCTGCCGGGTTTTGGTAATACCAAAGGTCTTTTCATTCCATCTTAATTTTTGTTCCTAATTCCTTTTCCAATAAAATTAAAAGAGACTGCCATCATCTAGGAAAACAGATTTACCCTTTTTGAATGATTAGTTGACTTCTAGTTACCTAAGGACTGCTTTCAAGACATGAGTTAGCCATGGTGTGAAATAAAAGTGTGCTGGAATGTATCTCAAAGTAATAAAAGCTATTTACGACAAACCAACAGCCAATATCATACTGAATAGGGAAAAACTGGAAGCATTCCCTTTGAAATCTGGCACTAGACAAGGATGCCCTCTCTCACCACTCCTATTCAATATACTATTAGAAGTTCAAGCCAGAGCAATCAGGCAAGAAAAGAAATACAGGGTGTTCAGATAGGAAAGGTAGAAGCTAAATTGTCAACATTTGCAGACGACATGATAGTATACCTATAAGACCCCATCGCCTCAGCCCAAAAACTCCTGAAACTGATAAGCAACTTCAGCAGTCTCAGGATATAAAATCAATGTGCAAAAAGCACAAGCATTCCTCTACACCAATAACAGACTTAAAAAGAGCCAAATCAAGAACAAACTGCCATTCATCATTGCTACAAAGATAATAAAACACCTAGGAATACAACTTACAGGAAAAATAAGAGACCTCTTCAAGAAAAACTACAAACCACTGCTCAACGAAATAAGAGAGGACACAAACAAATGGAGAAATATTCCATGTTCATGGTTAGGAAGAATATCTTGAAAATGGCTATACTGCCAAAAGTAATTTACAGAATCAATGCTATCCCCATCAAGCTACCTTTCTTCACAGAACTGGAAAAAAATCACCATGAATTTCATATGGAACCAAAAAAGAGTCTGAATAGCCAAGTGAATTCTAAGCAAAAAGAACACAGGGGGGGCAGTATACTACCGAATTTCAAACTATACTACAAGGCTACAGTGATTAAAACAGCATGGCACTGTTACCAAAACAGAGATATAGACCAATGGAAAAAAAACAGAGGCATCGAAGGCAACACAACATATCTACAACCATACAATCTTTGATAAACCTGAACAAAAACAAGCAATGTAGAAAGGATTCCCTGTTTAATAAATGGTATTTGGAAAATTGCCTAGCCATGTGTAGAAGGCAGAAACTGGACCCCTCCCTGACACCTTACATTAAAAGTAACACCAGATGAATTAAAGACTTAAACATAAGACCTGGCACCACAAAAACCCGAGAAGAAAATCTAGGCAAAACCATTCAGGACATAGGAGTAGGCAAGGACTTCATGAAGAAAACACAAAAGCATTGGCAACAAAAGTCAAAATAGACAAATGGGACCTAATCAAACTCCACAGCCTCTGCACGGCAAAATAAACAGTCATTAGAGTGAATCGGCAACCAACAGAATGAAAAAATACTTTGCAGTTTACCCATCTGACAAGGGGCTGATATCCATAATTTACAAAGAAATCAAACAGATTCAGAAGAAAAAAACAAGCCCATTCCAAAATGGACAAGGGATATGAACAGACACTTTATAAAAGAAGACATACATGAGGCCAACAAACATATGAAAAGATGCTCTTCATCACTGGTCATTAGAGAAATGCAAATCAAAACCACATTGAGATACCATCTCACGCCAGTTAGAATGGCGATCATTAAAAAATCTGGAGACAACAGATTCTGGAGAGGATGTAGAGAAATAGGAACACTTTTACACTGCTGGTGGGAGTGTAAATTAGTTCAACCATTGTGGAAGACAGTGTGGCGATTCCTCAAGGCCTTAGAAATAGAAATGAAATTCCATTTGACCCAGCAATCCCATTACTGGGTATATATCCAATGGACTATAAATTGTTCTACTATCAGGACACATGCACACGAATGTTCACTGCAGCACTGTTTTCAATAGTAGAGACCTGGAACCAACCCAAATGCCCATCGATGATAAACTGGATTGGAAAAATGTGGCACGTATACACCATGGAATATTATGCAGCCATCAAAAACGATGAGTTCCTGTCCTTTGTAGGGACATGGATGAATCTGGAGAACATTATTGTCAGCAAACAGACATAAGAACAGAAAATGAAATACCGCATATTCTCACTCATAGCCGGGTGATGAACAATGAGAACACATGGACACAGGGAGGAGAGCGT